AGGTGTTCATCACCATGCCCTGCTTAGTACCACATTTAAAATTTTTCTTATTGGGCTGGGGATGTGGCTCAAGCGGTAGTGCACTCGCCTGGCGGCATGCATGCGGCCCGGATTCGATCCTTAGAACCACATACAAACAAAGATGTTGTGTCCGCCGAAAACTAAAAAAATAAATATTAAAAAATTCTCTCTCTATCTCTCTAAACAAAACTTAAAAAAATTTTTTTCTTATAATGAAAATATGTGATTAGTCTTTTTGAGTAATTATCATTTAAAAAAAAATTAAAGTATAAACAAAAATGTATGAATACAGTGTAATTCTGTTTATATATTTAGGCTTAAATCTAGTTTAACTCCTTTTTCTTTAGCTTTCACTGAGTTTTAATCCCCATCTGTTGGGTTAATGAGAATTTAAAATATTATTTTCATAAACCTTGTAACTTTTTGCTATTATTTTCATTCTAACCCTGTTATTTACTCTTAATGTGTTTCTTTATAAGCCTCTTAAACTTCATTTCAGCTTTGGTCTGAACATTGTTGTTGTGATTAACACTTTTGGTCCCTATTTTCTTCTTTTGTAATATTTTCAAAATTATTTATTTATTATTTTTGGTACAGGGGATTGAACCCAGGGGTGCTTAACCTCTGAGCTACATTCCCAGTCCCTTCCCCGCACCCCCTCCCCCCACTTTTTTTTTTGTAACTTTGCTAAAATCCCTTTGTTTTTTTTTTTTTTTTTAATTTTTTGTTGTTGTTGTTGTAGATGGACACAATATCTTTATTTTTGTGTGGTGCTGAGGATTGAATCCTGTGCCTCACATATGCAAGGCAAGCACTCTACCACTGAACTTCAACCCCACTCGCTTTGTATTTTAATCAAGCTTTACTTTTAGTTGGGAATACTAACTTGACCATATAAGTTGTTTAAAATTATGCCCAACTTATGACCAGGTGCAGTGGTGCATGCCTTTAATCCTAGTGGTTTGTGAGGCTGAGACAGGAGGATTGAGAGTTCAAAGCCAGCCTCAGCAACCGCAAGGCGTTAAGCAACTCAGTGAGACTCTGTCTCTAAATATAAAATAGGGCTAAGAATGTGGCTCAGTGGTTGAGTACCCCTGAGTTCAATTTCTGGTTGTCCCCGCCCCCCAAAATCATTCCTCACCCGCCTCTACTTTCTACCTGATTGGTTCTGAACACACACGAGGTTTCTTTGGTACTGCAGTTTGAACCCAGGGATACTTTGACACTGAACTACATCTCCAGCCCTTTTTTTTTTTTTAGAGAGAGAGAGAGAGAGAATTTTAATATTTATTTATTTTTTTTAGTTTTCGGCGGACACAACATCTTTCTTTGTATGTGGTGCTGAGGATCGAACTGGGCCGCACGCATGCCAGGCGAGCGCGCTACCGCTTGAGCCACATCCCCAGCCCCATCCAGCCCTTTTTATTTATTATTTTGAGATGGATTCTCACTAAGTTGATGAAGGTCTCCCTGGTTGCTGAGGCTGGCTTCAAACTTGCAATCCTCCTGCCTTAGGTACCCCCTATTCTTATTCCTTATGATCAAAGACTTGTATCACTACTTTTTAAATTTTTCTTCAGTTCTACTTTTTCTGGATAAATAATACTCATTGTACATAAGATAGTCTTCAGTATCAGTTTTATATCTATTTTCCAGGTGTAATTGTTGAAATCTGTTCACATTACTAATTGGATTGTAATAGTTTTCAGCATTGTCATTCAATTATTTAAACTATATCATCAAATGATCTGCCATCAAAAATTATCTCTCAGGTGATTATTTGACTAGGTTCTTCTGTTTTATTGGAAGAAATCAATTAGAAACCTCCTGCCGTGCTGGTTATTAGAATCATTAGAGACACACAGTCTGAGAAATGTACAATATTGTTATTTTTCGCACTACTGAGAATTGAACCCAGGGACCCTCTACCACTGCGTTACATCCCTAGTCCTTTTTATCTTTTTTTTTTTTTTTTTGAGACAGCATCTGGCTAAGTTGCCCAGGCTGGCTTTGCATTTGGGATTCTCCTGCCTGAGCTTCCTGAGCCCCTGGCATTACAGGCATTTGCTGCCACTCCTGGCTGAATAAATTGTTTTTAATCAAATGTCTTAAACATTTCAAAACTATCCATTCAATTTTTCACCATTGTCTGCTGTATTACCTATGTGGCAAAACTTCATAATTAAACCTATCAAATGTACTTTCAGAATAGATAATGTCTGATTTCACTTTTCATTTCAAATGCATGGTTGGTATGAGTTCCTGTGACAATTGATTTTTATTTTTGTAGAACTGGGAATTGAATGCTGGAGTGCTTTACCACCAAGCTACACCCCGAGTCCCATTCCTTTTTTAAAGGTATTTTTGAGACAGAGTTTCATTAACTTGCCCAGGCTGGCCTCAAATTTGTGATGATCTTCCTTCAGCCTCCCAAGTCACTGGGATTATAGGCATGTACTACCACATCTAGCTTTTTTTTTTTTTTTTAAAGATAGGGTTCATGCTGTATTCCCCTTGGTTTTCTAAAGTTCTGAGTTAAAGAGATCCTCTCACCTCAACTTCCTGGATAGCTGGAACTATAAGTATGTGCAACTGCACCCAGTTTTGTTTTATATTCTGTTGGAGTACTAGGGATAATATCCAGGGCCTTGTGCATTTTAGGCAAATACTCTATCTCACTGAACCACACCCTCAGCTCTATCTTCTGATATTTAATCCCAGGCCAGAAGGGCAAGAAGTCTTATTGGCCTGAATAACTTGACCTTGTTCTTGGTGTCCCCTACACCCAACCCCCAACCCCCAACCCCCAAGAAATTCTCTTAGCTTTGTTTCATAGGACTTTTCTTGAAAAATAATGTATTGTTTGGTAAAATGTAGGATAGAAGAGATAAACTTTGGTTCGGGGTGTTGGTATACACCTGTAATTTTAGTGACTTGCGAGACTGAAGCAGGAGGGTTACAAATTTAGGGCCAACTTGGGCACTTTAGTGAGACCATGTCTCAAAATAAAAAATACAAAATGCTAAAGATATAGTTCAGTGATAGATTACCCCTGGGTTCAATCCCAAGTACTTTTTATAAAAAAAAAGAGGGAGCTGGGTATGCTGGTGCACACCTAGCAGTTTGGGAGGCTGAGGCAGGAGGATTACAAGTTCAAAGCCAGTCTTGGCAATTTAGTGAGGCCCTAAACAACTTATCAAGACCCGGTCTCTCACTAAGAAATAGAAAGGATTGGGGCTGTGACTCAGTGGTTAAGTGCCCCTTGGTTCAATCTCTGGTACAAAAAAGAAATGAAAACATATTTCTAAAATAACAGATATATATAATTTTTTTTTTTTTTTTTTTTTTTTTTTTGGGTAACAGGGCTTGAACTCAGGGGCACTCAATCACTGAGCCACTTCCCCAACCCTACTTTGTATTTTATTTACAGACAGGATTTCACTGAGTTGCTCAGTGCTTCACTTTTGCAGAGGCTGGCTTTCAACTCTCTATCTTCCTGTCTTAGTCTCCCAAGCTGCTGGGATAACAGACATATGCTGCTGTGTCTGGCTAACAGATATATTTCTAAAATGAAAATTGTGATTGACTTTTGCTCCACTCTACTATGTATCTGAAAATAGAACATACTGTCACAATTCCTTATTACTAATTTCTAGCTTCATTCTTTATAGAAATACTATATAAAACAGGAAGCTCCAGGAGCTGGGGTTGTGGCTTGGTGGTAGAGCACTTGCCTAGCATGTGTGAGGCATTGAGTTTGATTCTCAGCACCACATATCAATAAAAATGAATAAAAAAATAAAGCTCCATCAACATCTTTAAAAAATATTAAAAAAACCCCAAAACCTTGCTCCATAGTTGGTTTGTGGTACTTTAAATATCTCCCCCCAACCCCCCTGCCCCGCGTGCACATGTGTGTACAATTTAACGCAAGGTCTCCAGCATGCTACGTCCTATAACTGGGGATTACTCTTTTTTTTTTTTTTTAATTGTTGTTGTTTGGTGCTGGGGATTGAAGTGAGGATCTTGTATATGCTAGGCAGGTGCTCTAGCACTGGGCTGCACTCCTAATTAAAGAATACTTTGAAGACAAAATACTATGGATCGTTTCTTTTTCTTTCAGAGCTTTTTATACCCCAGGCAGTGCAGTACAGTTTGATTCAGGAGTTTGATGGTTTAGGTATGCCATTCTTTAATCTGGATAAAGATATTTATGAAATGGGAGGCAGGAAAGGAAAATTAATATGACCTTTCTACTTGGAGCCCAGATATACTGTCATGAAGATTAGCAGTGGAAAAAAAAAAAAAAGGCCTGAGTACAAATAGAAACTGAGGACCTGGGTTCCTTTGTTTATTTCTGGGTACTTTTCAGGAAATGTTTACCTATAACAAAGATTATGGTACTGTGGCAGATCCTAATCTAATAGTTATGACAACCTCTATTTTTTTGGACAGGGAAACTGAGAGGTGAGGTACTTGTCAGCATTAGGAAGCTAGTAAATGGTTTAGTAAAAAACTACCCCCAATTTTTTTCGTCCTCTATCATATTATTTGCTATATAGCCTGGTACACAGTAGATGCTTACTGTATATTTAATGAATGGATAGCTGTATAGATTGTTTTGTGAACTCTTAAGTGCTTAACAATGTAATAGTTAAATTTTGAACATGAGAGTAATATTTCATATGATTCATTGTAGAGGAATACTGAAGATATTTTGTGTTTCAAAGCTTGGTCATGTTGATCTACCTTCAGTTCCTGAGGTGGTGCCAGAGGAAGTGACAAATAGAACAGTAAAGAGCCATCTGCTTGGGCATTCTTGGTGTTTTATTCATTGGCTTGGAGAACTATAACAGTATGCTAATGATTATTTGATGTAGTGGTCAACTGATGGTTGTGTTGATACTATAATCATATGTCTACTGAGACAAATGTAATTCTGTTTATATGACCAGTATACTTCTGTTTCTGTGTTATAGGTATTCTCTGAAAGCAAATGACCAAATCTTGGCTGAAGAAAAGCACAAGGAACTGTAAGTTTATTAAACTCCAGGTTACATATACTTCACCCTGTGAAGCAGATGTGTGTAAATGGTCAGATTGATTGATTTTTAAAATTTATTTGCTGTATTGGGGATTGAAGCCAGATGCAAAGTTCTACCATTGATATACCTCAAGCCTTTTTATATTTTATTTTGAGATAGAGTCTAAGTTGCTTAGACTGGCCTCTAATTTGCCATATTCCTGTCTCAGCTTCCTGAATAGCTGGAATCACCATGCCTGGCACTTTTACTTTTGAAAAATAGCTGCCTATAGGATTCTGGGATATTTGTTTTTCTTTGCCCTAAGATTATATTTAAAAGATTATCATCTCACAGTAAGTATGAGGATTTTAGTTAAAAATAAACCTGGTTTGGGTTGAGTATGGAGATGAATGCCTGTAAATCCCAGTGACATGGAAGGCTGAGGTAGGAGGATTGCAAATTTGAGGCCAGGCTTAGCAATTTAGCAAGGCACTAATCAATGTTTTTTGTTTTTTTTTTTAAACTGAGAGTTGAATCCAGGTGTACTTTCCAGTGACCTGTATCCCCAGCCATTTTTATTTGTTATTTAGAGACAGGGACTCTTTAAATTGCTGAAGCTGTTTTTGAACTTGGGTCCCTCCTGCCTCAGACTCCTGAGTAACTGAGATTACAGGTGTGCATGCCTAGCCAGTTGGTTATTTTTTATATAGGTCTACTAGTAGAGTTCTTTTAGTTTGGGAATTTAGTTGTTAGTTTCCTTTGGTTCTTGTAAATGATGACCAATATTAAAAGTTCAGAAATCTGCTTTTCACGAATATATATTACTTAATTTATACTCCATTTCATGTGTTAATTTATTTAATATTTTTTAGTAGTGTAAGATATAGTTCATCACTATGGTTAGAACTTAGCTAACTGTTTTTTTTTTCTTGCATTTGATTATAAAAAAGATTTTTTAAATTTAAATTTATTTTTTAACTGATATATAAAACATTATGAAAATTTAAACATACAGTATTCACCCATATGCTCCCCACCTAAATTTTTTTTCTGCTTTATACACAGAAATGATTTCTTTTACTTGTTAGTCACTTGCAACATTAACCTGAAAATAACATTTCTTACACCACCTAGATTTTATCATTAACATTTTATTGTCCTTTATCACTTGCATGTTCATTCTCCTAACCATGCATTAATTCATCCATTTTTTTGGGATGCATTTTATTATAAGATACCAGTGTGCTTTCCCCTAAATATCCCCCCACCCGAAATCTTCCAACACATATCATTAACTAGAGTTTAATATATATTTTTAGTGGTAATGGGGATCTAGGGACACTCATTACTGAGCTTCATCCTCAGCCATTTTTTTTTTTTTTTTTGAAACAATCTCACTGAGTCACTGAGTTGCTGAGGCTGACTTTAAACTTGCCATCCTCCTGCCTCAGCCTCTTGAGTCACTGGGATTATAGGCATGTGTCATTCTAGCTGGTCTTTTTAAGTTTTGCCTGTTGTAGGATTTCTTAGTTATTTAACGGGGTGCTGAGGATCGAACCCTACCACTATTGAGCCACAACTCCAACCCCTAGAATTTCTTATAAGTGGAATCATATACGTCCTGTTTGGTAAGGCCTCTTTCATTGTAATTTTGAGATTCATCAGTGTTATTGCATATATTAGTTAATTCCATTTTTAATCAGTGATTAATGTTTCATTGTTCATTCTTTTATTGACTATTATTGTCACTTGATTTATTTTGCATTAGTTGATAATGTTAGTTCTTTTGGCTGCTAGGTCTCTGTCTTGTAGTTTCTGACCTTTGTACTAAAATTACTTAAAAGTTGAACATGCTATTGTAAGAATAGAATACTAATTAAAATAAATTTACCAGTTGCTTTTTATGAAAGCTGTTCTTAAATAAGCTCATTTGTGACTTTATAATTAAAATAACCAAAATCTCACAGAGAAATGTTTGAGAAGATAAAAATGCTAATAAGCCTGATTTAATCATTAGATATCATATACATGTATCAGATTATCAAATTGTGCCATGTAAATGTGTGCAAATGTTATATGTTAGTTAATAGCCAATACTCTTTGTGCTCAAGATAGAGTCTTTTAAAAGTACAAGAGATGTAGATATAAAACAAAATTTAATTATAAAATCGGTAATTTCATGCACTATTTTCATAAAACATTGCTTCTTCTAATCTGTTCAAGGCACTCTTAATTCATCATATTTTATCACATTGACCCAGTTCCTAAAATATGTCTTCTAAATCCCAATGATTTAGAAGACTAAGGCAAGGGGATCAAAGGTCAAGGCCAGCCTCAGCAACTTAGGTAGACCCTGTCTCAAAATAAAAATAAGAAGGGCTGGGGATCTTGCTCAGTGGTAGAGCACTTCTGGATTTAACCTCCAGTACCACAATAAAATAAAATAAAAACAAAAACAAAAAACCCATCACCACCTCTGACCAGAAAACTACAATAAAATGATTGTTTTATTATCTTGATATTTCTTTACATGCAGTAACTATGATTTCACTAAAAACATCCTTAGTTGAGGCTGGGGTTATAGCTCAGTGGTACAGCACTTGCCTAGTACATGTGAGGCCCTGGGTTCGATCCTCAGCACCATACAAAGATAAATAAATAAATAAAATAAAGTTATTGTATCCATCTACAGCTACCAAAAAAAAATATTAAGAAAAAATTCTTAGTGCCCGAAATCTGATGATTCAGATTCCATATATGCTTAGTCACTCAGGCTTCACAAATATACATGTTCCTCTAGGGAAGACTGACTGGCATCAAAGAGGATTGGTATTTGTTTCTCAAAGAAAAATGTTTTTTCTCACTTTTCTATTTTTCATTCTTCATGTGGAAGACTCTTGAGGATGATTTTAAGAAGGAAAAATGGAGCAACTGAAGTGGTGATGTGATTAAAACTGAGTATTATACTTTGCTCTATGCATGATCGTATACTGAACTGGTTAATTGGTCTTCTATAGATTTTTTTTAAACTATCAGAATTTTAGTTTTATAAATGGAGTAGATTAAACTAAATTGGAGAAAATCATTGTTTTGTTCAATAAATATTTTTCCCTTGTCAGCCAATGTATCACACAGTATTTAAAGAAAAGGTACTGTATAGCTTTTTATTTGTTAATCATACCAAAGTGGTTTAAAAAAGATACTTTAGGGCTGGGGTGATAGAGCGCTTATCTTGCACTTTTGCGGCAGGCACTGGGTTTGATCCTTAACACCACATAAAAATAAATAATATAAAGGTATAAAAAAAGAATTAAAACTTCTTAAAAAAAGATACTTTATTTTAAATGAAGACTTAGTTTTCTTGTTGCTGAACACGTGCAGTTATAGAAGGTAGAACCATTTTTTTCTCATGAATATCTGTATATACTTCTATATTACCTTATATAAAATATTGAGATCTGATCATGAGGATTCAGATAAGTTAAAAGTTGATTGGGGCTGGGTGTGGTGGCACTTGCTTTTAATCCCAGCAACTGGAGGCTGAGGCAGGAGGATCACACAACAGTTTAAGGCCAACCTCAGCAACTTAGACCCTGTCTCAAAAAAGGGTGCTAAAGCACTCCTGGATTCAATTTCCAGCACCCACTTTCCCCCAAAAAATGTTGGTTGGAGTTAGGGGTGAATTTCAAATACAAATATAAATAAATAAATTCACAAGTATCCATAAATTTTGTCAGAACCACCCCTTAAATTTTTAAAAATTAGTTCTTTTTTAAAAGTAGGTTTTGTCAATGTAGAATTATGATAAAATGGAAGAAAATAAATTATGCAAAAAGCATGAAACAGGTTGTTGGAAGAGATACTGGTAGACTTTAATCCTTGGTACAGTGTAAAAATACTATTATTTTTTTAGTGAATAGTGCCCATTTCTAAACCAGTAGAGGAGATTTGTAAGTATTTATGTGGCATGTTTAAGATATGTTCATGGCAATTAAAGATAATCACTGACATCTGGTATGCTCTGAAATCCACTGTTATTAACACTGTGTGCTGTAGCCTTTCTTTGAAAACATCAAGATTGTTTTGGTAAGAATGATCCAAGAACTGCTTATAAAGCTGGTAGATTTTGTTCATGGCAAAATGTATTTGCTTAAGGTAAAAGAGAAAAAACCCTGGTATACAAGAAGTCAAAGTTGAAATGTAGTTAGAATCAATGAAATCAACTTGTTTTTAAAATATAGGGATTTCAAATTGTTTTTAGAAGATACTAATAATGGGGGTGTAGGATGTAGCTCGGTGGGAGATTGTCTGCCTACCATGTGGGAGGCTCTGGGTTTGATTCCCCGCACTGTAAGGACAAAATATTAAAGATAACTTATTTTCAGTGTTTATAAATAAGGTATAGTTTTTAAGCTGTCAGGAACATTTTAATGATCCCACTCTCAGGGACCTCCTCTTTCAAACCTTTTAAATTGTAACTTTAGCCTGGAAATGAACCTTAGAACTAACATCCATATTTTACTAAGAATAGGGTGAGAGATTGACATGAATAAAGTGACTTGTTACAAGTTAATAGTGCTGTTTAGCGACAGTGTTGGACTAGAAACCAAATCTCCTGCTTCTCATTTAAGTGCCTTTTTTTTTTTTTTAAGTCACAAGAAGCAGCTCCCTCGGTATACAGTAATTTTTAAAAGGGGTTAATAGTGGTTGTGCTGGTTTGTAATCCCAGCGATTTGGAGATTTCCAGTTTTGAGTCCAGCCTTGGCAATTTAATGAGACCCTGACTCTTGATAAAACTTTAAGAAAGGACTAGAGTTGTAAATCAGTGGTAAAATGTTCAATCCCCAGTCTGTGTATGACACTTTGGCAGATTTTTCCTAAGCTAAAATGCTTCTTATATAAGAAGTTATCTAGGGCTGAGGCTGTGGCTCAGCGGTAGAGCACTTGCCTAGCACGTGCGGGGCCCTGGGTTTAATCCTCAGCACCACGTAAAAATAAATAAACAAAAT